CCTGTTACTGTGAGTGAAATTACTCGTTGTGGTTCTATCCGAGATGAATCCTTCCTCTTGTGCACCCAATAACCATCCTTGCTGTTCTTCTCAAGGATGTCACTCTGGCAAGTCTCCCTTCTCATTCCTACATTGATTTGTCTGCTCAAGTAGATCTGTCCCACAGCACACAAACATACTATCACTTATCCAAGACTACCTTCAGTTACTGTGCTATTTTTCTCCTTATGGCTTAAAGCAAGACCTAATTCAATTTTGTTTTCACATTCCATTGAACCACCTCCTATGAAGGGCTCACCTCTACACTCCACCAAAACAGATCTCATCAAGGTGTTCAATTCAACTTTGTCTTATGTGATTGTCAGCAGCTTTTGACATGGTCCTTATGTCTTTCCTGAAACACTGTCTCCTCTTGGTTTCCAGAACTCCACACACTACCATTTTTCCTTCTAACCACGTTGTTATACCTAGCTGTCGTCAAGTCCACCCTCAATTCATGGAGATCCCAGGTACAAAGAAATGAAACGCTGCTGGAAGTAGACTGCAGTGATTCAGAGGATTTTCAGTGACTGGTTTTCAGAAGTGGATCGGTAGAACTTCCTCCTAGCTCATCACATTGTAGAAACGTGACTGAAACTGATCAGAATCCTAGCAGCACACAAGATTCCACTGGCAAAAGGGCTGAGCACAGGCTGTGAGTCAAACCTGGACCTTCTCCCACACAGGAATTCCATCACTGCTAATTCCCTCTACCACCTTATCGGCTCCTTTCCAACTTTTGTTTCTTGATTTCTCCTTAAATTCTTAGTTGCAAACTCATTTTGGGACCTCTTTTCTATCTAAATTCACTCCTTTTGGGATCTCATTCAATTTCATGGCATTATGCAATCTATAAGCTGATGAATAGGAGATAGGAGACTCTAAACCAGACCTCCCTCCTAAATTCAAACTTCCTACATGGCTTCCTAATAGGCATCTCCAATTTTATATGTTCAAAATTAAATATAATGATTTCCCCCCTAAATTGTACTCCTTCACAGACTTCCTCATCTGGGTTGATTGGCGGCTCCATCCTTCCAACTTATCAGTACAAAACCCTTCTTGACTCCTCCAAATCTCTTACAAACTAATTTCATCTGTCAGCAAAGTCTCAATTAAGCCTGCAAAATATTCTAGGATATGACCACTTTCACTGTTTCTTTTGCTACAATCCTGGTCCCAGTGACTATTGCTTCAAGCCTGAATTATTGCCATGGCCGCTTCGAATAGTGACCTTCCTGCTTCCACACTTGCCGCCTTCAGATCAATCTGTTCTCAATGCAGCAGCTAGAGGCAGTATGTTAAAATGTCAGTCAGCCCACGGGCCACCTCTGCTCAACACCAGCCAATGGCCTCTAATTCCACTCCGAGGAGAAGACAATGTTCATGTACTGCCTTCAAAGGGTCTTGACAATATGCTTCTCTCCTCCATACCCATTCATTGCCACAGTGTTGATGTAGAATCACAAGACAGAGTAGAACTGCTCCATAGGGTTTTCAAGACTGTAAATTTTTTATGGGAGCAGACAGTCTCATCTTTCTCCAGCAGAGCAGCTGGTGGGTTTGAACTGCCAATGGGTAACCCACTAAGTCATCATGGTTCTTTCCTCCTCCATACTCTTCTCTTCTTCCTCTCTCGGCTCCATTTATACTACCTTCCTTGTTGTTTTTTAAACATAGCAAGTATATTCCTGCTTCAAAATCTTAGCCTGGAATGCTCTTCCCCCATTTATCCTCATGGGTCATTCCCTCGTCTTCAGATCTTTACTCAGACACTTTTTCCTGGAGGGCCACCTTAACTTCCCTATCTAGAAATGTCAGGCTCCTCTGCTTTATGTCTTGCCTTTTTCACTTACGGTGTTTATACTCTCCCCACCCCAACCCCACCCCCAGTATGTGAACGATGCACAATTCTTGGTACAGGTTGTTGGGTCAATTCATAGCAACTCCATGTGCATAGTAGAACTTCTGGGACACAGCAGAACTCAATGAACATTTGTGGGAACAAATGAGTAACCTCAATGTTTGTCAGTTCACTCAAGATTCACAATGGTAGGAACCTTATCTTTGTAATAAATGTGACTAAATGGAAGCAGTAAGAAGACATCTTCAGTTAATGCACGTAAGGCATTTAACTGTTTGTGGATTTTTGTTTGTCTTTTTCATCATTTTAAATCCTAATATTTTATGTCTCTAAACAAAGTTATCAACTGACTTTTCTTTTAAAAAATACAAATAAAAAAGTTTCACTCAGCTAAGAGATGTGCAACAGAAACAGAATTATTAGAACAGTGTTTACCAGCAAGAAATTCAAATCTTTGCTGTTGTTTTTCAGTGCTGACAAGTTGGGTCTGACTCACAGTAACCCTGTACAGGGTTCCCCAGGGGCGGCTGGTGAGTTTAAACTGCTGACCTTGCATCTCAAACTGACCTCACAGTCTCGTGCTTATCCTATAGTGCTACTCCAAGACTCAAATTGAAACCTGAAGAGGTGATGTAAACATGGTGGTGGTAGTGGCTGTGTGCTGTAGAGTTGGTTCTACTCATGGTGACCTGCAAATCTTTATGGAAGCAGAAAGCCTTATGTTTCTCCCAAGGATCATCTGGTGAATTTGAAATGCTGAATTAGTTCTTGTTGTTAAGCGCCGTTGAGTTGGTTTCTGACTCATAGCGACCCTATATAGGGCTTCCAAGGAGCAACTGGTGAGGTTGAACCACCTACCACACATAACCCACGACGCCAACAGGGCTCCTTCATTCATTCATTCATAAGATTTTTCTTTTCCAGAGAAAGGTTAAATAAGTACATACTACACAGAGTGAGGAAATTGTATTGGTTTAATTGTATGATTTCTAAAATACTCTAAACAGGCGCAGAAGAAATTCAATCCTTTAATATGCTGTTAAATAAGGAACACTTTCAATCCACCAGAATATATTTCTATAGAAAATGTCAATGCTTGGAAAATTCCAGGAACCCCTTCCCTGAAAAAATGACATGTTTATTTTTTCATGTTTTTATTGATATAAAAAGTCATAATTTATTTCACCAGGACTCGTGGCGCTGTGGGCTAATGTGTCAGACTGCAAAGTCATTTGAACTGCAAGGTCGGTGGTTCAAGTTCACCAGCTTCTCCTTGGAAACCCTATACAGGGTCGCTATGGGTCGGAATTGACTCGACAGCACTTAACAACAACAACAATTTATTTCACACCTTGACAAAGAGGACAAAGACCCAGGTTTTTGTTTCAATACAAACATATTCACTCAGGAAAAGCAGCTTTTGTGTCCCACCACCGACAGCAGGAGTGCGCCCCCTAAAGGTTCCTCTGAGGATGGCCCAGGGTAAAGGATCCCTACATGGATCATTACTTTATATGGGAACAGACCTTACAGGGCACATCTGCAGAGCAGGGAACTATCCCATCACCCCTGTGGTGGAGCCGGGGACAAGATTAAGAGGTCGCAGTGTTACAATGCAGGTAAACTGGAGGTGGTGATGCCTAGTAAAAGAAATTCCTAACTGCGTCAGGCAGAGTGATAACTACATCAGAGGACATGAAACCCAACATGAGAGAAAACACGATTCATCGAATCACAGAATTGAAGAATAACATGATGACATCATGACATGTTAATGGGAATGTCATTAAATCATACATATTAATTTACATATAAATCACTTTTCCTGGGCATATTGTATACAGTAGTAAATCAGCTATACTATATATTTTCTACATAGCATCCCTGGTCCATCATAGTCTTCCAAATGTCTAGTAATAGTCACTGGAACTTCAAAAAGGAAATTGTTTCACTGACTAACATTTAAGAAGACACATGCGCACACTCCCCACCCCAACTCCATGTGTACACCAACCACTACACACATACACCCCAAATCACACACCAATCAACTATACACACACATATAAATCACAAAACTACAAGTAGTGACCCTCCTGTTCACTTTTTTTTAACAAAAATAAGAGTTTTAGCTCAAGGGGTCTAAGCAAGCAGTAGACAGACATTATGGTTTAATCAGTGCTATCTTCCTCCTCCTGTCACTAAAATATGTTCCGATTTGGTCACACATATATAGTGACTTTATCTAAATGGCTAATGCCTTTGCTATGGAAGTTTAAGCTTTAGCTATAAAATAGAAAAAAATCAGTGCCATAATTTTCCCATAAAGATATGGGTAATCAAACTGATTTAAGTCAATCAGCCTTTTATCTTACAAAAAGCAAAGCCAAAACAAAACACGAATCCAGTAGGGTCACCAAAATCCAGAGGGCTCTCAACAATAAGAGGCATCCACTTCTGTCTCTTGAGATTTTTGAATTTGCTCTTCATACAACCTGGCCAGCCCCGCTTCTGAATAATGGTGGCTCACTTGACATCCATCAGGGGTTTCAAATGTCACTGATAGTTATGAGAAAAATGTCTCACACATTTTCTTCTCTTTTTAACAAAAACATTTTATTTATCTTACTCTTGTCTTACTAGATAAGAAGTAGAGGTGGAGCTTTAGATCTGAGCTATTTATTAAAAGTACAAAACGGAAGGCTCTCCTTGTATCTGAGTTCTTTTGATATCCTCCTCCTTAGTGGAACACTAGGCCCTTACCAAGCCTACCATTATTAGGAAAGGCATCTCTAAATACAGAGTGGAAAAACTGACACCACATATTCAGCCAAAATCCAGGGTCCCTTGTCACATTTCCCTACCCATTACTCCCCTCCCAAGACAGTGGTTTTTATTCTCTGTGAAAAAGTCAGTGGAGTAGCTACGGGAGTGAGAGAATCGTCAACAGATTGACTTACTCACACTCCATTAGCAGCTCCCTTTCCCCGGGGGGTACCATAGATTCCAGAGGGTAGTTTGCCACACCCACATTATCCCAGCAAGTTCTCAGCATGTTTGCACTGATCCACAAGTAACAAATGCTCTCAGAATATACTCAGAGGTCAGTCCCATAAATGGCCTTATAGCGTAAGTACTCTTCTAAGCACTGGAGAGCATTATCATCTACTCTTGGGTCAAATTTGTTGGCCAACAGGTGATGGTTCTGTAACATCCAATGCAGGTCCCCAGTTCCATAAATACAGATAGCCCGCTGGTGGATTCCAGTGCAAGGTGGATAAGGTGCTCCCTTGCTCATATCTCCCTCATGGTTCTGCCACTTGACGAGTCGAGCAATGGCAGCCAAGTCTGAAATGTCATACTTGGAGTGGTAGGGAACAGAGCCAGGCATCCATGGTGCACGCTGAAGGGTAGCCCAGAGATGTTCATCAGGACTGTAGGTATCTTTTACCCATTCAATCAGTTGTTGGGATTTGGGATTCTCTAAGACATGTTGGACGAAGTCTCGAGAAGCCACAATATAGGCATTTCCTGTGAACATAGGTAAATTATCAGGGGGAGGGTCCTTCTTCTGACTTGTCATGTGCAATGTGTCTGTCATCTCATAGTGATATTGCCAGCGAGCTTTTTTGTGGTTACTAGGTATCTCTGACTCCATACTGTTCTTCCCATTCAAAAGCTTGAGGGCTTGGACCATCTCAGCATTGGTCTTTATAGGGAAGTCTGTCCCACAGGTGTTTAGGAAGTATTTCCATGGTACTGGGCTCTGGAGCAAATCTTCCATGCAGTTCAAGTCAGCCTGCACCCTGGACCAGGATGCATAAACCACTGGAACCAGCTTACTGGCCATGAAGACATTTGGGAAACATGAAACAATTGCTCTCGTTGCCTTTTTGAAAGTTTCTGGGGACTTCTCATCCACATGGACACAGTATATGTTCTGTGGGGCATACACAGCTCGAAGTAGCCTTTCAAAATTTTCAATCTTCTCATGGACCACCATAGAGTATGCGATGGGGAAGTCTAACTCTTCTTTGCTCAGTGGGAACTCTATAAACTTCCTCATGGCCTTAAAGTGCTTGCAGTTCCTGGTCAGGTTGAGGTAGTATGCATCTGTGAAAGGCTTCCGCTTGTTCTTAGTCTCCAAGTTGTTCAAGAGAGCCCAAGTCACTGCTTCCTGATCCCCTCGGGTGATCCCAGAGCAGTTGATTAATTTCCTGGCTGGCAGCTTCAAGGACTTGTACATGATGTCCCTACAGGGCCTGCTTTGAAAATTCTTGGACTCCAGATCCAGGTGCTCAAAGTTGCATTTGAATCTGAGAGACAGTCTCAGTGCAACAATGGCCAGCAGCATATAGCAGCCCAGGGCCCACAGGTACTGTTGCAGGCTGAAATTCTTCTTCCACCAAGACATCTTCATGTAATGGAGATCCAACAGAGTTCAGGTACAAGGCAGGAGGAGGAGGACAGAACAAAATGCCTTCAATTACAAACTACACTGAACGCATTCACAGGAACAGCAAGTTCATTCCAAAATGGATTTCCTCTCTAGACAAATGGTAAAGACCTGCCCCTGAGCGGAGCTGAGATGCTCCACCTCTAACTCCCCGGACACAGAAAGGGGACTAGGACCTAGCACCTGCTGAGGCAGTGAAGTAATTAGTAAGAGGAAGTCCCCACCCTTCATTCCTCATCCCTTCCCCCAGGCTTCACCACCCTGCTTTTAATAGGTAGTTCTTATCTTCCACTTAGAATTTCTGGTAGGTCTGGAGAGATAATCCATGAAATACAGACTTTCAGTGTGAGTTGTAGAAATCAAAAAGCTCTTTGAAAAGAAAATGGTATATTTCTTGCTCTTGCTTGGCAATTTCTACATGAAGATGCTTTTTACTGTACATTAATTCATTGACAGATGTGGTATCTAGCCACACTTAAAAAAAATCTTTTTAAAGAAATAGAAAGAAAAAAAAAAAAAAAAAAGACTTACTTTGTAAAAAAATGTTTTGTCATCATTCACATAAAGAGTCCGAATGGAACCATGGCTAAGCACTCAGTTGCTAACTACCTAAAAGACTGGCAGTTTGACGAACCCACTGAGCCATTTCAAGAAGAAAGGCCTGTTCCTATAAAGATTGTTGTTCAGTGCTGTCAAGTTGGTTCCGACCCATAGCGACCCTGTATAGGGTTCTCGAGGAGCAGCTGGTGAGCTTAAACTGCCAACCTTGCGGTTCAAATCAACTTTGCAGCCAGTGCAATAACCCACAGCGCCACACCAGGACTCCCCTATAGAGATTACAGCCTAGGAAACATTCTAAGACAGTTCTACTCTGTCATATGCGGTGGCTGGGAGTCAGAATCAACTGGACAACACCCCAAAATAATCATTCATGTAGATAATCTTTAGTTTATACAAATTCAAGCTATGTCTACACACAGACACATACTACTATGAACATACAATATTTAATAAGTGCCATCTAGGGGGCCATAGGGTCGCTGTGAGTGGTTACCGACTCGATAGCACCTAACCACAACAACAAGGGGTCAGAGGAATTTCTATAATTGATTCATTCAATCCTCACAACCAGCTTGAAATATAGTATTATTAGACCTCCCTTACAGATAGAAAAAGAGAAGCTAAGTAATTTGTCAAATATTGCTCATATTATAAGAAGCAGATCTGAGACACATTCCCACTTTCCCTTTTTCCTCTAGTTTTCTTGTCCTCAATTGTTCCACCAAACCACAGTTACCTTTCAACTACAATTCAAGGTACTGAGTACCATTAAAAATTTTTTTGAATATCATAGGAGAAAAAAAAAACCTCTAAAACGAGAGAAATAAAATAATATACACCTTTCTAGTAACCTACCAACTCCACCCATTTTATCCTCTTTGTAAACTTTGAAAACGATTGTGTCCAGTTTGGTAATATCTTTTATGGGAATCTAAGAGGAAGAAAAAAGAAAAGAAAATGCTCACCTTTAATGCCTTCTTTCGAAATCAGAGAAGATCTCTTGTCAGAGTGTGAATCTGTTTCCTAGGGAAAAGTGGTTAGGTTCCATGGAAAGAAACATGGACATCATTCCTCCTGATCTTCTACTCACCCCTCCAAAATATATTTTCTGATGATCACAGGACCCTCTGTTTCTCTGTATTTTCTGCAAAGTACAAAGTAGCAAGTCACACTATCTGTCACTCTTCTTTTCTGTTCTCACATAAGGGAGGAAACACAGACAAGTCATTCAGAAGTAAATCATTTAAGAGCATAGTCATCCAGGAAGGTAAGTGAGATAGGGAAAAAAAAAAAAAGTCTGGCAATATCTGAGAAAATAAACAGGCAGGTCCTTCAGTCAGAACAGCCCAGTTTGTATTCAAGCACTCCTGTCACAAAGCCATTCATAAAAACCTTCAAGTGTTCATACAACACTCCATCTGGACTCCTTTCCTTCCATTGTCCTTGCCTTCTTGTGGCTTGATGTCTAAGTGTCACTCATTTTATCTTCCCTGAAACAGGAACAATAAAAATACCCTCCACGGATTTTTTTCTTTTCTTTTCTTTTTTTAAAAAACAAATCAATGAAAACCAAAGTTCCTTCATCAAATGATAGAGGGGTAAAACAACCCATTTGCCTGGTCTTAAATGATTGTTAATAATCTGTAGGTTGTAGAAAACCCCACAAAGCCCCAGATTGCAGATCCCACTCACAAATGGGAGTTTTAAGATTCTCAGCAGTCTAAAAAATAGTTTACACATAGGATAGCTTTGGCACTAATATTGTGTAAAATGTCTCCTTAAAAGTTCCTGCCACTATTCACCATTGTTTTTTTCCACAGTTCCTCCCTATTGCCTCCTAAATAACACAGTATTATAATATAAAGAGATAATTTAACATAGAGAAGTTAACTAGATACCAAGTTGTTAAGTAAGTAATTGAAAAGAAAAAAAAAAGAAGACACTAAATTATTAGGGAGTGGATGAATGTTGCTGATGCCGCCCATCCTCCCCCTCCGCCACTTACTGTCCTGCCTGTCACCACTGACCTTAGTAATAACCTCCTCTACTTGCAGTTTGGCAACGTGTAAGAATTAATGTTTTTGGAGGAAATCAGTAGATTACAAATGCCTGAAATATTCTCAGACACATTAAAAGCTGGGACCAGTTGCATAGAATTATTGAGTCCTAGAAATAGCTGCAGCCTAAGGTCAGCAGTTCGAAACTACCAGCTGCTCCATGGGAGAAAGATGAGGCTTTCTGCTCCCATAAAGATTTACAGCCTCGGAAACCCTGTTCAGGGTCG